CAGCCAACCCACATGGAAGCCCTCTAGTGAAGGCCTGCCCACCCTCACTCTCCACAGCCACAAGCACTTGGTGCTCCCAATGGGACTGAGAGCCCCCAGCCTGTCCAGACTCACACCTGGCTCTGAGCTCTCTGACCAGGACACCCTTTGGTGGCTCCTAGTCCCTGGCTAGTGCTGCTTGGTGCTTGAGCCAGCCCACACACAGCACACACTGTTCTCATTGGTGTTCTGGCAGCTGTGGGTGCCTTGAATCCCAGCACCAGTCTCCTGCTGGACTGAAATCCCTGTCTATATCCATGCCCTTCTTGCTGGCTGCTCCAGCTCAAACTTTGCTGGCAAATCCCACTGGTATGACTCCTTTTGAATCAGAAAGGTCTTTGTTAGATAAACGTCATAGACAAGATGCTCTCGTATTTCACATACCCTTACAAGTTTGTCTTCCCACACTTTAAATTTCCATGTGCTGGAAACCTGCAGACACAAAGACCATGATAGATCTTAGTGGGACAGGAGGAAACACCTGTAGAGATGGTGAATGAAGAAGAGCAACCCTACTCCAGGATTCATTGCCCCAGAGCTTATGGGATGTTGTGTTCTACAACTTTGCAGAATCCCAGGAGCACTCAAAGCATGTGATCAAGTAATGACACTCTCCACACTCCAACAAACTCTTTTCCTTCAGTGCTCCCTGTAGATTGCTCACCAAGTCCTGCAGGTTTCTGGAGAAGCACCATGGAAAAAAGCCATCCTGGGTGTTCCACAGTCTCAGATCCCAGGAATCACAGAGGCAGAATTTTCAAGAGCACATCAAAGGTGTTGTCACCTGTGCGATCATAGAAGAAATTGTTTGCAATAAGACCTCTGTGTCATCATCTGTTTGGATCCTGTGACCATGAGATCTTTCAGTGCACTGCAAAGAGCTCTCGTGGCTGTCAGCAAAGTCTGGCATCACGGACTTGAGGTAGAACTTGAGGTAGAACATAATTTGTGCCTATGTAGTGAAGAAAAGAAAGGAGGATCAGGAAGTGAGGAGAACCAAGATCTCTGGATCATATATTTCAAAAGCAAAAATAACCTGGAGCAGCAAAATCTCTGCTTTCTTGTTCCATAGACAGAAATAGAAAGAGTTGATCCAAGAAAAATATTAAATAGAAACATTATCTGAAGCATTTACTTCAGCCTGAACAAGGGAAATGCTTGGAGTCATACTAAGCACAACATTGTGACTTGACAAGTGTGGAAAACTATCTCTTAACATATTCAGGTGTTTAATTCCAAGACTGACAGTATAAGGCACCATTTACAATATTCAGTAATTTGCAAAAAATAAATATCTGCAAAGATCTCTGGTGGTCTATTGGCATGCCTCTGCTTTAGAATTTTGACTTTGAAGCTGGTTTTACACCATATTAGTTGGTCCCTATTTACCCCCAGTTTCTGGGTTCTCCACTGTGATCTTCTGTCTGGTTTTGAGACAACAACATTGGTGCTTTTGTTTATCATCTACAATAGTACCATGCCCATCTATCACTATACATAAATATATACATGAACACATATATCAAGGAATCAGAGAATGGTTTGGGCTGCAAGAGAAACTGAAGAAGCCTTCGAGAGATGGTGCATCCACACCTTCAGAGAGCTGAACATGAGCCATCAGTGTTCCTAGGTGGCCAGGAAGGCCCATGGCACCTGGCCTGGATCAGCAATGGTGTGGCCATCTGGAGCAGGACAGGGATTGTCCTCCCATACTCAGCACTGCTGAGGCCACTCCTGGAATCCTGTGTTCATTTTGGGCCCCTCACCGCAAGACATGGAAGTGCTGGAGTCCAGAGAAGGGCAGCAAGGCTGGTGAAGAGTCTGGAGCACAGGTCTGATAAGGAAGAGCTGAGGGAGCTGCAGATGTTTATCCTGAAGGAAAAGGAACCTCAGGGGGGGACCTTATCACTCTCCACAACTCCAGATAGAAGAATGTAGCCAAGCGGGTCGCTCTGTTCTCCAGTCAACCAATGATGGAGCAAGGGGAAATGCCCTCAAACTTGTGTATGGAGAGGTTCAGGTTGCTGATTAAGGGAAACATCTTTACTGCAAGAGTAATTAAGCTTTGGGCAACCCAGGGAAGTGGTGGAGAAACTTATTATTATCCCTGAAAATATCCAAAACAAAAGGAGAAGAGACATTCGCAATATGGTTTACTGGGTGTCCTGCGTTCACTATATGATGCTTTTTGTAGTCTTGTTCTGTTTATGCTGAATACTAAGTTTTGCATCTTTAGGATTTGTTCCAGAGAGTGAAGGGTGCAGAGAAGAAGCAGCAGATTGTTTTCAGACACTGCACTCACTCCTCCACATTCCTACTCCTGACTGTGTTGTCTGCGGATGGACAGACAGTGAGACAGAGCTCTTTTTGTCTTTAGTTAGTTTTAGCTAGTGGACGCAAAGAAGTTCCCTGACCAGTGGGTTTTTCCCTTTCTCTGGAGCTGTTCAGAGCTGCTCTGGCCTGAACACCAGCAGGGA